GATTCAGGGCGGAGGGGTTGATGCTTATCTCCAGCGCTTGGTGGGTGGGTGAGTACAACCTGAACCGCTCTGGTTTATAGACCAGCTGCTGAATGTTAAGAATCACAAAATGAAATGATGAAAGGAGTCAAATCATTTTTCTGTCTTAATTATAGCTGCAGCAGTAAAAACTTCTGCTTTATCTGTTCTCTGGTCATAAACAAATAAAAACAAAAATCGCGTGGAAAAAAGCTTAAAACTGCTTGTGTGTTTGTTCCAGAGACAGTGGGCGACAATACTGTCTCACCAGGTCTAGATACGCACATCGGCAGACACTACCATGTTAAAATAACTTTCTACCTTTCGTGTAACACCTACACAGTGATGAAATGAATGTTCTTGTTGAATGTTTCCATGAACTTTCATCACATTGTGCAGATTATCTTTAGAAAGCTGTGCATTGCATCAGACTGATAATAAAGTTTTGTCTTGTCCTTAGATTCAGGTAAACTTTTCAGTTTGAGTTTTCATGCTATAGATATAATATATAAAATTGAAATGAGCACGTTTGGATCCTTTGCTCAGATTAGATTTTTGCGTCGCAGTAATTTTATGTTTACTCATCAGGATTTCTGGCTCAGGTTGGGACTGTTTAACTTTTTTATGTACATTGAAGTGCAGTTGAGTTCAGGTGCTGCGCTTTGTGTAATTTCCTGCAATCAGAAAATATTTCGCTTTGACTAAGTTTGGTATTGTGACATTTAACAGCGTCAGCTCACACCTACAAGATGATTTGAATCCAATAGAAGCCATCCCACTTTCTGCCATCCAACATATTTTATCTCACTTTTAAGACATGATTTAAATTCATGATAGCTGCTTTATGTAATATCATTTAAAATAACTTTGATTGATTCAAAGTGCTGAGGGGCTTCACAGCAGGAGGATTATGACTCACAGAGTCCAGACACCTTCACTCTGCTGGATTCTACTAAAATCCCCTGATAGAAAATTTACAGAGGGTGAACGATTAGGGTCTTTTGAGATGTGTCAAAACAACACCTGTGACTTCACAATTCATTTGTTTTAGTTCTGAAACAGAACTTCTTCTGTGTTTTGAGTAGGAAAACAATATGAGCGAAGATGTTTGGAGCATTCTGTAAATCAAAATTATTATGAGGATCATTTTGGTTTTCAAACAAGAGAGATGTATTCACAACATAATGCAGATATATTACATGAAATCCATCTATCCATGTACATCTACTCCAACTTAAAGCTGCAGTTTGTAACTTCTAAAAAAATATGATTTTTACATATTTGTTAAAACTGTCACCATGTTGTGACAGAATAATATGAGACAGGTAATCTGTGCAAAAATCAATCTCCTCCAACTTCTCCTAGTGTTGCTATTGCCGTCTGCATAAATGCACTGCTCCCAGTCAAAAACAACCAATCAGAACCAGGAGTGTCTTAGTGCTGTCTATCATCCACATGTACACGTTGCTAAATGTGTTAATGACGGAGAAACAACTCACCATTTCAGGAAAACTGTTTATCCACTGTGACCGTGCTAACTGCCCTGAGCATTCATGGAAGACTGTTGTGGTGAACCAGCAGTAGCGTAGCAGAGAGCAGCTGATACACTAGGGTGATTGATAGTGCTAAGGCCCTCCTCCTGGCTCTGAGTGCTTGCTTCTGACAGAGCAGTGTATTTCTGCATATGACAGAAGCACCATGCAGAGGAAAGAGAGAGCAGCCTTCAGTATATTCAGCTGACTTTATTCTTTGGTCTCATAAAGTTGCTGAACTTGAGCAACTGCAGCAACTTTAGATCAGTCAACTGTCCCCATAGGCTTCACACCACATGGCCTTTAATTGCTCCAGAACAGGCCTGGTGTTAACCAGATATTTTCCATCTTTGATCAGGTTTTTAAATCGGTGAAGGAAAAGTCTGACGGCCATCTGTCATTTTGAGAGAGTAGTGATCATCCACCACCCGCCACTTTGTGCAGACGCTCAGACATTTTCATCTCTACAGAGAGTAAAGGTAACTATATCAATCAACAATGAAAAGACTCCCATCATCTCTGACCGGCACACGGTGTGCCCAATGACACCGTACCCAATGAGCTGACAGCGCAGGTCACAGGCCAACTTCTCATCGCCTTACATGGTGAAATGTTCAATGATTTCAAAACTTTGGTGGAAGTGGTGCTTGTAATTCCATGACAACAAACTCTGCAGAAATCCCACTGAAGACAGTTGATTACACACATTCGGATTACCCACTCTGAGACTTGCTTTCAGACCACAGCTGGTTAATCCTTCATAATTTAAGTTCAATCGTTAAATTTCATGTTTTATATACAAATACCGGAGCCACAGTCAGTGTTTTTTTATTACTGCAGAGAAAAGGTTACGTTTCCGTCTGCTCAGTGTGTGATGGCGTGATGTGGATTCTCTGTTCAGATTGTGTGAGTTGAATATTAACTAACAGAATAGAATAGAAATACCCATTATTATGGGGAAATTCCAACAGCAGCAAAGTGATGAAGCACAGATTCACACCAAGATACGAATACAGAATACATAAAAACAAAATAAACAATGTCATACTCTATGGTAAGGTCAAAATCTTAAAATAAAATGAAAATGAAATTCTATTATCATTTTCAGTATACAGATTACAATCATTCAGGATTTTTTCTGCAATCGCCTTGGATGTTTTCTCTCTGCCAATAATCTGACCCTTCTTAAGCAGACCAGCATCTTTTCCACAAAATACTCACTGCATCAGCTGAGGCTAAATAACTTATTTGCAGCTGAAAGATGTAGTAATTATCCAATAGGAAGATCAAAACTATTTGCTTAACTAAATCTGAGTGCTGACGGATCTGTTTGGCGTAGAAAATTAACACTGCGTTGGTGGAAATTCTTCTTAGTTTTGATACATATCAGAATGCTTAATTACGTCAAAGACAAGTAATGTTTGAAATGCAAATACAGTGGGTTACCAATATCCTCTCGTTTATTCTGTAAGCAGAAATTACTTTACTGAGAATGAAAAAAGTTAACATTGGGTGTTTCTGAAGAATGTTGTCAGATAAAGTGAGGAAATTCCTGAATTTATTTTTCTGCTTCCTTGCACATCAATCAGCCTTTCGCACGTAAATCAAATTAATGCAGGTTTTTTCTCTGTATCTTGTTTTAATTTATCAGATAATAATTTGATTCTTGCTGAAAGTGAGTTGATGGACACATGAATAAGGGCTTCATGAGGATGCAGTTCCAGGTTGTTATGATTAAAGGTAGCAAAGCTGAAAGGAGGAGCTCTTTGTTTACTGGTTGATCTCTGTTCCAGACCCAGTTCATGGTCATGAGACACAAATCGCCACAGACATTCTGGATACACGCAGCTGAAATGAGCACATGAAAAAAGGATGAGCAAAACCTCACAGAACAACAATAAACCAGCTAACATCAGCTCTGGGCCTGTAGAAAAGTTGGTAAAACTCTAAATATTCCAATGAGAGACATTGGAGCCATACTCAGACTTTCCTGCATTTGGAAAGATCCAGAAATCATTGGTCAACCACATTCAGCTGCTTTTTACCAACAAAATGCAATCCTGTCATAAAAATAAGTGAAAAACAAAGAGTTTTCCCAAAGAGCTTCATAAAGACCAGGAAATAACAGGCACAGTTTTTCCCATGAAAACAATAAGAAATGTGCTTCAACCTCAAAGGTCTACAAGCACTTTCAAAACACAAGACTAGACTGATGAAGAAAAGCAATGTTAAATGTTTAAGGTTTACTGCAGGAGATTCAGACTAGCCAGTGAAATGCAGGGAAAATGTGGAGTGGTCAGATGAGGTCAAAGTTGAAGTCTTTGGATGTCACTGACCTCACCATGTTTGGAAGAAGAACGGTTCTTAAAATCACCCCAAAAACAAGCTTTAGGAGCATCACAGTGGTCTAATACCAAATGTCTCCCTTCCAGCATCTGGTGCTGACAGATTAGATTTTACCAAAGGAAGGTTGCATGAAGGTCGCTACAGCTCGAGTCTGAGAAGAAGAATATTTTGGTTTTCTTCCTCAAACTAACATTTTCATGCGGAACAGATTTTAATATGGTTTACCACACAGGGTGGTATGAGCTATAGGGATACAAGAGCAACACATTTGCCCTAAATATGTTTTTGTTGTTTATTTTAATCTCCTCTGAATAAAGAATGGACACTCAATTTGTTGTACAGTAAGCGAACACCGTCAGATGTATTACTTTAGATCTCTGTTGGCAAGTGACTCTAAAACTGGTGTATAATGTTTGATTTAGCATTAACCATAAGGCTGCATTTGGTGTTTTTTGTGTCTGGACAGCATTTTGTCATCTCCAACTCATTTTATTATACATAAACTTGTCGAGTCTTTAAAGAATTTGAAATCTAGACATTTGAAATTTGAGAAAAGCGCCAAATTCCGGTATATACTCATACCTGGATTGTTCTCATTCTGCACTGATAATATATTTTCAAAACATAATTTGTGACTGAGAGAAACAGCGATTTTATCTTTCTAAATCTAGGTTATTGTTCTCATTAGAGAACAAAAGACTTCAGTAAAACCAAGACTCCTTCATAGTCATTTAAACAATACTTAAATTGGTCATATCCTGATTCCACACCATTCATCCTATTTGTAAATGTTTAAAAAAAATGGTAGATGCCTTTTATTAGACCACCTGAGATGGGGCTTGGGTTAAAAACTAAAATAGTTGGACTCATCATTTCCAAACTAGATTGTTGTACAAACATCAAATCATCATTTCTGATCCTTAAAACATGGCATACAGACCATCTCAGATGTTCCTCAACAAATGATGAACATATTTTAAGGGTTTTGCAAAAGTCACAACAGAAATCAGCTCTATATCCTCCTTATTTACCTTACTTTATTGTAGAAGTAGTAAAATTGGTTCACTTGTTGAACTTTAGATCAGGAAGAGATGGGGGATCTAAAGTTTTTAAACTCCTGACTTTTCATGTGTGTCTAAGGTGTGTGGCCAGAATTCAAAGCCTGACTCCTAATCAAGAAAAAAATAAGCTATCTGCTACAAATAAAGTCACAATAAATCCACATCTGGTCCCCAACAAAACTCAATCACCTAAGCTGCGCATGTAAGAACAGGAAGTCGAAAGTTGCACTTTAAAAGGCCCATACTTGACCCCCTTGACCTAATCAGTGTCAATCTGTGCCTCGAGACAGAAAACAAGTTTAACAGAGTCTCTTGAGGCTTTTGCTAACATGGCGTATCTATGGAAGCTTCACTGTAGCCAAACATTTAATTTCTACATATATCATCTGAACTGCAACAAAATGAATGAAGGTTGCAAACAATAAAACAATCAACCTCACACCATGCCACCATGCTTGGACTGAGGATTATGAAATCCAGCATGCAGATGTAACTTCTCCAGAGCTGCTTTCTGCCGCGGTTCAAATCCCACAGCCATTTTAACTCTTTTCAACCCGTTGTATCTGAACAAACTCCTTCTAGAGCTTTCCACTTACAGACTTCAAAATGAGCTGGTTTAATAGTCAGGAACTGGGGATCAAAAGTTATCAAAAGCTTTTTTCTGACTTGAAGCAGGTGAGTGTGGCCAAGCTTCAAAATCTGACTCCATAAAATACGAAGGTTTGATCACTACGACACAGAACGTCAGATATGTACCAATACCCAACACATTCCCATGGGCATTTGAAGACATCACTTTAGCTCCACCGCCTAAAAACAGGAAGCGACTTGTTTCAAGCTTTTAAGCTGTGTTTAATGACAAAGAGCAAGTTGATGTTGAATCCTGCAGCTGCTGTTAACTGAACTGTGTGTTCATGGCTTATATCTCTGTTTGCTACGACTGGCTCTAGATCACAGGTGCATGATCCGATTCACTCCAAACTTCACATGAGTTATACTTTTCAACAGGAAAAACATGTCATTTATTTAAATTACATTGAAATTTGAATCAGATGTACCCCATGGGATATTTCAAACAGCTTTATTTCCCTGATGCATTATACAATTCATGCCGAATCGTGAGCTTATTTTGTAGATCTTTATTCAACACATTGTGATCTACAAATTTGATTACGTCACTTTAGTTCCATCCACTGAGAATAAAGTCACAGGATTCTATGGTGAATGGCCCTCCGTGACTCTGTTGCACCTTCTCTAATAATAGATGAAAATATCAGGCAACATTTCCAAAATAGTAAAGGAAGTCTTCGTTAATTCTTCAGCGCCAACAGGAAGTGGATGTGGTTTCTACCAGGAAGGTCCGATTTTGGCCAAACTTTGGAGACATTCTGTTAGAGCTGAACTGAGCCTGACTGAACGTGATATTGAGGCTTATTCCTAGTAAAACCAAGCGGCAACATGCAGATTTGAGCGCTGATGCAGAACATCTGCGGTTGCAGCACATGCTTATACATATTCAAACCTTAAGGGACTATGTCTACTTTCCATTTGCAACTGAAAGGGTCCATGTTCGTCTTCCTCTTTGGGTAAAGTAGGTGAACCAAATTTGACGTCTGAATTGTTTTGCACAAAACATTTTCTGTTTCCTGTTGACTTTTTTAGGTGGTGTGCTGATGCATATTCATAGCTTAAAAGTGGAAGTGGTGGGAAGGCACCACATTACACCGTTTGGCAACCACTTCCTGAGTCACCATGCTCACAGTGACGCCTTTAGCTTGCTGCCTGATTATTCTTCCACTCAGTCTTCAGAGGTTAACACATTAGTGTCTCCGGCACTTCTTCACTCTTCAAATTGTAGAATTTCACATTAAAAAAGGTAAGAATTTCAACCTTCTCTGTATTTATACTTAAAATATTCTGATCTGAAGACACAACGGGATTAGATTATTAATTTTGTTTAATATGATTTAACATTGTTGTATAATGATGTAAATCCATTAATTTGTGGTCATACCGTTTTGACTGTTGCTAATAATGTGTTAGTATCTCTTCCCAGACTATTTAAATCTTTTTTAGCTGTTAGTGTAACAATGAACCTTTGGCCCAGTGTAGCAGGGGATGACAGAAAGCCGAAGCGATTTTCTTCTAAATGTCTCTTCTTTAACCTCAGACCTGAATTAGAAACCTCTATTTGTGCCTGCAGTCTGGTCGGCTGTGTTTTCCCCTGCCTGCCAGGCTTCTGACACCAGTGAGTCATCTCCATGGCTCCTCCACCTCTAGCCCTGCTGCTGCTGTGGGGTCTCACTTTACTCTTAGTTGGAGGTAAGATGACTTATTGACTCTAATTAGTCTTTTCCTCTGTCCTGTTATTTGACATTGCTGAAGATCTCTTTTAAAATATTTCACTTCATTGGAAATTCATTGTAATCTTGTCTTAATGGCTTCAGTTCATTAATCTCAAATCTAATTTGGTTTTTGGTTCTTACAGAAGTGTCTTTTTGAGTTAACAATCATTGAAGCTGACATTCAGGATTAGAAACTCTAGGTAGTGCAGCCTTTGCAGCTGACCTCTTTTTTCTCCTCTGCAGCAGCTGCATCTGTCTGCAGTGTCACCTGCACCACTGACTATGTAAAGATACTAAACTGCTCCTGCTCAGACTCTGTGCCAACACTTCCTGTCCTTCTCACTGTGACTTGCAGGTAAAAGTTGTCCTGTCATTGTTACTAAATTGATAGATGTTTTTATCAGGTGACTGCATAAGCAGGAGCATTTTAATCTTTTCCTCAATAATTATATTTTTAACATGAAATACAATTATGTCTTCGCATTATATTATTTAACTTCTGATTTGAAGTAATGAATAAAACAGTCTGCAGTAATGCTAACTTGTTTTAAAAGTTAGCACTACCTTTAAAACAAGTAGTGCTAACTCATAAATGTATGAGGGAATTCATATTTTTATGAATTCCCTCAGTTCCTCTTTGCATCATTCAGATAAACAGACACAAGATGCTGATTCCATGTTTCATGAGTGAAAACAGCCAACAGAAAATGGTCCCAACATCACAGTAACAATCCAAACAGAAAGAGGTCTAAATGGATAAAAATGATGTCATGGTGGCGGTTGTTGTAAAAAACTGTATTTTTTAAATGTTTTCATCTGTGGAATCTGAAAAGTTTGAAAATAACTCAGTTAGAAGACCCAGGTCTGTTGCAACTGAAACTATTTTTATTTAATTTACATTTAAACTTTGTATTGTCTGGCATCATGACGCTTGTTTGCTTAGTTTATTACACCAAAGCTGAATAAATATGAAATTTTGTTAATGTCTATATTCATAAGTGGTCCTAAAATACAATAACTACACTACCCATAATGCATCTCAAAATGAGATGGCATGCTTAAAAACCTCCTAAAAGTGGGCTTAAAGTTAAAGAAACATTTAAATGAATGAGATATTTGCATATAAAAATGTTTTTGTCACAATGAGGCTTGAAAGATGAAACATCTGAAAAATGTGTGTTTTTATAATAATTTCTTGTGCTGTTTGAGAAGATTATCAGGGACAGTTTTTTTATTTGTTCTTACCATAATCTAGAAATATTATTTGTCTTTGTGAGCAGCAAAGTCTTTTAATTCATCATATCACCAAATGATTCAGTTCCAGCTATCCGGACACAGACCTTAATGTGAGCTGTGAGACCAAACCGCCTCAGTCCTGGTGCATAATCAACGAGGACCTCTCCTTAGTCGCATCCATCGATACGCTGTGCAACGCCACCGCCAGCCGGCCCGGCAGCCGAGGCCTGGAGGTTCTCAGTGAGTCACTCCAATGGGAGCTCTCTTCTGTAGGTAGGTTCAACTAAAAATCCCTCATTTCAGTTTCATATCTAACCGGCTGACGTAAAAACCACACACAAAAAATGCACCTGAGAGCTGCTTTAAGGTCAACACTCTCTGGCACCTGCAGGGTGCCAGAGAGTGTTGAAAAGTGCAGAGATCACTCCATCCACTTGTCTCCTTTGCTGGAATAAAGCTCATATCTGCTCTGACTCCTCTTGACTGTTTTCACAGTAAAACCTGACGCTCCTGATAATGTCAGAGTGGAAAAGGCTGCTGGGATCTACAACATTACCTGGAGCAACAAAAGTGAATACACTCCCTGCATCACAAACAAAGTTCGCATAAGAAATAAAAAAAACACATCTGAGGTATTGCTGAGTTTCACAACAGCATGAATGAGACTGTAACTGTTAACCACTTTCTGCTGATGAGTTTAATTTTTTCCTTTCCAAACAGGAATTAATCTTTACACATTTACCAGACCAGATGTACTTTGAGCTGGATCAGAAAAAGCTGCAGCCTGGTGCTTCCTACGTTGTGGACGTTAAGGCAAAAATCTGTGATGATTTGTTCATTGTGGGTCCGTGGAGTGAATGGAGCTCCGGTGCAGAGTGGAGCACACCGGCTGACCCTCCGGATGAAAAAGGTGGGATCATGTTCCACCCAATAAACCTGGATGTTCGTAAACATTCACAGTTCAAATTATATTCATCTGATCTCTGTCGCTTTTCCAGGAGTGAATTTTTACTGGCTTTACATCTCGACGCCCATCATCCTCATCCTCGCCCTCCTGCTACTGGGATACCTACAAAAACCGTGAGTATTTTCAAACGTCTCACTTTCCTGCTTTAAACTGGATTTTCCCACCAACTCATTCCTGATTTTAGTTATTACCAAAACAAAAAGCCTTCAAGGCTAAAGAACTTTACTGAACTCTTCTTTTTACTCTTTGTTCAAACGCATCCCAATTAACCAGTCAGTAAACGTAAGCTGATAACGAGGAGTGAAGGGTTGAAGGTCACCATCACGCTGCCTTCCAGTAAATGATTAGCAACACAACTCACCGCATCAGTTGATTCCTGGCATCACCTCCTACATATGTAGAAACCACGGCAGCAGTACGTGCAGCAGCGCTGTGCACTGAAAGGCTCACAGGCATAGGAAGTCCTGCAGCAGAGCATCAGAGGCTGAGAGCGGCTCCCTGTGGGTCTCCACAGTTTCAACAAGCAAACACAAGATCAACCAATCACACACTCTGCTCTCTGCTGAAGGATGATGTAACACGTCTAATGTGTGAACAGAAGTTTTAGTTTTGGTATTCTCACTGGCAGTTGATATATGAAACCTAATTCACTGCAAAAACTCAAAATATCACCAAGTGTTTTTGGTTTCTAGTCCAAGTTCTAGTGAGCGATTTGGATTGAAAGTTTTATCACTTTGTGGTACTAACAATAAAAGTGAGAATAAGAACTTACTTTTTTAGGTAACAGTTTGAATATGATAAATTTATCCCAATAAATGATAAACGATATGATAAATGCAAATATCTTAGTACACCTGCAACAAGACAAAACTAACTTAAAAATAACTTTTCAGCAAAATATATAAACTTATTTCCAGTCAATAATTCTTGTGTAGAGATTTAAAAACTTACTTACAGTCGTCAGTATTACTATTATTATTGTCATCCATAGATTTTTAGCAGTCAGTGTTTAACCTGAACAAATGCTGTATTCTGTCTGTTTCATCAGACAGTAACACTAACTCCACAAAGCTGTTTTATTTAGTCATGTTTTAGTCATTTAGATAATTAACTGCATGGTTTGTTTCTAAAGTCATTTTTAAGTGAAAGAAACACCAGTGGTATCACAGAACACGCAAATCATAAAGGTTTTCTCACCTTTTGTCTATGGTTTTATTCAAATGAGTTGGTTAAATTCAGTTTTTCCCTTAATTCTTGGTTTGATTTGAATTAACCTGCTTAACAGCAGCCATTATGACTCATCTCAGTGTGTTAAAAACAGCCATTTTTCACACATTCTGAGTTAAAACCAACATGAATCAGAATTCAAACCAGAAAGGATTTAGGTTTTTATGTTGAGGACAATAAAGGTGATTTAAGGAATCACCTGCACTGAAAGAGATTTTTTTTTCTCTTTTTCTTTGAAAAATGCCAGAGATGAACCAAATCTGAAAATGTTTTATTGTTTTTTAAATTGAAGATCCATTCAGTTTCTATGAAGTAAAAGAGGGTCGGTGTTAAAATGTTTAGACGCAGCAAAGTTTTTCTGAAACAACCTCAAGTTGAGAAGTTTTGTTGTCAATCACTGTCTCCTCATGATGAAAATAATCCTTCTGTTCTGAGAGTCGCAGCGTGGGATCCTTTATTATCAAAAGTTAAGATCAAGCTTTGACTCAATAATTCAGTAAATTGCTGTGTAATCATTCACATGAAAGCCGTTTTGTTTTACCAGGATTTCTGGTTATGATCTTAAAAGCTTTGATTTGAGGTCAAAGCTTCGCCTCTGCTCAGCTCATCTACCGTAAAGCATGAGATCCAGATAAAAACATGAGCAAAGAAGAGAAACATCCTTTATTTGACCTCCATCTGGAAAATTGGCTGTATCAGCAGTAAGAAACTAACGGAAGTACATACAAATTATCCATACTAGTAGCAGTAAAACCCAAATAGACAACATAAAAAAAATCTATAAAGCTATGAAAAACAGCAGATACTTATTGCAAATATTGTGCAACTGTAAAAAAATATTTAAAAAACTGCAGACTCTCTGCTTTTATGCACAAAAACAGACAAGAGAAAAACAGTTTGCTGTGTTTGCAGGGAGCAGCGAACAAGCTGCTGATTCAGCAGGCGAAGCCACAAACCAGAGGTGTCCAAACGTTTTGCCAAAGCCAAAATTTTAAAACATAAAACTTCTTGCAGGCCTGAAAATTTTATTATTTTTTTAATAAACATGATCTAACTAATGTCATTTAAATTTTTTTATATATATATTAAATAGTCAATCTCTGTTTCCGTATTTAATTAAGAAAATGTCTAACTTCTAAAATTTTTGCGTCGGTTGTCTTCGGTTATTCTCAGCACACGAACAGGAAACGGGTCACTCTTTCTGCAATGTCCCAAACACAAATCTTACCAAGTATTCTTGGTCTAGTTTCCAGTGCAAATATCTAAATACTCTTCAAATTAGACAAAACTAACTTACAAGAAACTTTTTAGCAAGAAACAGGAGCTTGTTTTACTTGTTTTAAGCCAACAATTCCTTAAAATTGATGAAAAATGACTAATTCCACTGGCAGACTGTTCACTTACAACAGTGAGATAATTTACCAATGGAACTAGTTTTCCTCGTTATTAATGAATTATTGAGTTAAAACAAGCTCCTTTCTTGCTAAAAATTTTCTTGTAAATTAGTTTTGTCTTATTTGAAGAGTATTAAGATATTTGCACCTGAAGCCAGATTAAAATGACTCGGTAAGAGTTTGTCTTTCTGCGGTGAATTGACACAAAGTCAGTCTAGGGAGCTAAAAATGCCCCCATCACCACATGTTGAAGACCTCTGCTCTACAGGGAGGCTGATGCCACCACAGTGAATAAAGGTCACTGTTTCTGACTTTTATTCTGCTTTTCTTTCAGGTGCTGGCAGAAAAAACTCAAAATGATGACGTTCATCCCCAGACCCAACGACTATTTCAAGCCCCTCTACCACAGCCACGGTGGGAACTTTAAGGTAAGAGAAAGCAAAAGTGGCCTTTCACATTGCTTGTAGTTTCCACCACGGGCCAGCAGGTGCTGCAGAAGAGGGGACTTGCGTCACATCTGGACCCTGCTGGCTCTGCCGGCTGGGACTTTCCCTTTGGCGGCAGACTCTGTGACTCAGTCAGCAGGGGCTTCACGAGCCTCACATGCTGTGGGAGGATATTTGTCTCAGTCAGGCAGACCTGTTCCACCTCGGTGGAAATTACCCCCAGAGGTTGTTTCAGCTCTTTGATTTGCCATGGTGTCACAGTAAAAACGGCCTGTTTTCTACCTGATGGAGACGCATAATGAGAACGTTGTGGTTTACGTTTTTTTCTTCTTTCATAAATGTTGCACGGTTTATCTCTGCTCTTTATCTTTTGAAACATTCGTCTTTTCCCCTAATGTAAATTTACTCTTTTCATATCTGCTATTTTTAGCAGACAGATCATGTTTGTGTAGGCTGCGATCTCCAAAACGGATCGTCTTAGACTCCATTTCCATCAGTGATAGACAGTCATTCACCAACCATTCATCACCAAGGTTTTACTGCATACAGCAGAACATAATGACATCCGGCGTCACGCATGAATTTTAATGAAACCGTCACGTGAAAATACAGTAGCTGCACCTGGAAGAGCTTTTAAGAAACAAGTTTAGATTTGTACTGTAACCTGCTTGTTGCTCCAAACCAAAATGGAAATGTTTTAATAAAGGATGCAACAAGAGATTGGCATTTTAGGAGTTAATCCGTAAGTTATTGTGCTAAATCTGCTTTTAATAACAGACTTTCTTCATTTTCCATATCTATAAAAAAACGTTCACCTCATTCTATGAAATTATTATTTTTTTTGTAATAGAGGATTCTTTTCTAAAATCTGACAGTAGGAATACACTTTAGGTTAATTTTTGCTAGCTTTCATAACAAAGCATTTCACACATATTTAGAAAATTGTTTTTTACAGCTCTATACAAATTTTATGTTGAAATTCTTTGAATTAAATCAGCTGCAGAAAAGCTGCTCTGAACACAAAGACCAAAATTATTTCCTTCTACTGTCTTTTCTTGAAAGAAATGTGAGGAAAGGTGAAGACATTTTCAGAAAAGATAGATATATAGCAGCAAGAATTCATCCTGTCTGGAGCACTTAATCTGTAGCTCAGTACTCATGGCAATCCAAACCTATAATGGAACAAAATTCAGATGGAGTTCATCTCAAACTGTCACTAAACTTGTTAAAATGCTATCAAGAAGCCAGCAGATGGCGCTATCTCTCCACTTTACACACAATCAAACAAATGGCAACAGTGGAGAGGAACTACGCCTTTTTAACAAGATGAAATTATAACCAGGAAATCTTTAGACCAGCTGTTTTTACATCCCTGCTGCTCTACAGAGAGTAGATTATTATTATGTTATTATTATTATTATTATTATTATTATTATGTTATTATGTTATTATGTTGCATAAACAAGGATTAAATCCAAGCATCATGCAAGACACAGAATAATGACTTCACTGCAAAGATAAAAATTTCACACTAAATGTATGACTTTATCTTTGGTCATAATTAGTTAGACTGCTATGAAATAAAAATCCCAATGTGTCCCAATCTGATCAGAATAATCATTTATGAAAAAGGAAGTTATAAAGGATTTTATGACTGAGTGAATAAAGTCAACGTTAGCCATTTTTCTTTAGACCTTTTCAGAATTTGACCCGTTGTTTTTATGGTTGCGATGCCATCATATTGGTCAAAGTTCAGCTAAATTCAGTCAGAGAGAAAAAAAAAGTTTTCTTTGGACTTTTGAGATTAACATGCAATTACATACCTTCTGCAGCAGAGGGCGCTGCTGGAGTATATCTGAGTTCTGAAATACTGAGGAATACCTTGATAGAAGTGATGCAGATTAAAAGAGGAATGAAGAAAAGATTTACTTTCTCACCTCAAGTGTTTGTGAGAATCTTAACAGCAATCAAGAAAACATCCCAAAGATTTGGAAAGTGATTAAATCAGTTTAGAAACTTGGAAAATCTATTAACTTTAAACTTCTTTTATGAAAAAAAAAAAAAAAAAAGTTTTTAAACCAGAACAGAATCCTTTGCCAGATGCCCAGCACTTAAGGGTGTAGAGGTGAAACTGCTCGTTTATTTTAGGTGCTGCTTTCTTTTGTTTGGTGACTTCTCACCGGCTGCGGTGCAGCTCTCTTTGCGAAGCGGCTTCTGTTCTCCTGCAGTATCTCACGTCCTTGTGGTGCAGACTGCTTGCGTCTTTCTCGATCTACAGGTTCCGTTCAGGAGCTCTGTAGACAGGATGTGGTGGCCTGGGCGTCAAAACTCTTGATTCAAGCTTATCTGGACATCTCAGGCTTTAGGTGGCTGCACATTTTTTACACTTCTCTTAAGCCTTTCAACTGCTTTAAAACCGTCAATTAGATGAACGGCTGTGCATTAAATCAAAGTGAATATCAAATTCCTTTGAAATAGTTATCACAGTCACATTCTATACTCCAGATTGATATCTGTGCATTTAAAATTTGCATCAACTTCTTCAAGGAAGTAGAGTAAGAAGACTTATTGCAGTAACAAATACCATTTAAAGAAGAGGTAGAGAAGTGTCAAATAAGTCCAAATTTAGAGATATAAAGAGTCTGGATGTGACATGAAAGCTTTCTCTGTCAGATTAGAGGAGCACCTCTGCACATGTGCAAAAACATCCCACTATTTAACAATGAAAAATGAGAACAATCTGATATGACATTGTGAAAGTAACAGATTATATTCTGAGCCTGCTGGTAGCAACAGAGGCTCAAAAACAAGATATGCGGACAGCATGTGGAGGTGAGGTGTCACGTGTCCACTGATTACCATAACCTGCACCAAGAGCGTGGTTTTACGTTGAATCGGATGGGGCCTGATGTTCCTCTAAAGTGCAGAAAGTTTCTCATGTTTTTTTTAATTTTCTTATGACAATGATTTGAGAGAAAGAAAAAGAGAAAATCTAAAAATGTGTATTTTTACACAGTAAATGACAGTTATAACTCTTGAGATTAGATGGACATTTCAAAGAAATGTGGTAATGTGACACATCTCAGTGTCATCTGTATATCAGTAAATCCTGGCTGCTTCCACTGAATTGCAGCGGGTCGGTGAAAGCAACCATATAAGAGGATGGTTTGTCATTGTGTTGCTCTAATCCAGGTAAAAAGACATCAGCAGTGGCCTTAGAAAAATAAACTCTTCCTCCTGGGTTGGAAGGCCATTTCCAAAATATTTTAAATCCATTAATCAAACATGGAGAAAGATTATTGAAAGGAGAAAAAATATTTGGTTTTTCAGCCACAGGATCTGGTCACCTCACAGTCACTATAGTTATCAAAGATGTAAATTAAGGTGGTAAAAATTCCTCCACTATGATGAAGCTCAATATGGAGTTATTGCTGCTGAACGTCGTGTACAAGGTGCTAAGTCCTGGGCTGCAGTTTGGTTTTCTTTGCCATTATAGGGATACTTGGTAAAAGGTGCTCTGATTTCACTCAAACTGGTAAAAAGTGGACAAAATGTCACTTTTTTAATCTTTGAATTTAGCTCTGTGTTTTCCTAATTAAAATGCAGTTTCCTTCATGGCAGCTTTTATGACAGTAACTGTCTGCAGTAATCTAATGTGATGTTTTTCTGCTCTTTCCTTGTAGGAGTGGGTGAAGCCGGTGTTCAACGAGTACGATTACCTAAAGATCACCACCTGCGTCATGCTGAGCGAGAAGCAGAGCGAAATCCTCAGCTGGAGCAACGAGAAGCAAAGCTACAGCGAGGTCACGGAGGTGAAAGCTGCTGATGACTTCCTGCAAGTCCAACAGCTTCCCAACAACCTGCTGATGACGTTTCAGGACAGCAGCACCTCGCAGGGTACCATCCACTCCACGGGACACATCTCCATCCACACCGTCACCCTGTCCGGAGAGGAGTTCGAGGGGGACGTGACATCACAGAGCTCGCTGAAAAGCTTCCAGGACTCAGAAAGCTTTGGCTCGCTTGATGACGACAACAGGGAGCGTGTTGCTTACAATTTAGGGGAATCGCATGTGTCCCGGATGGAGCGGCACAGTGAGATATCACTACGAGAAAACCAGATCGCCAATGATTTAATACTGGAGAACCAAAACCTTCTGCCGGATGGCGAGTTCAACGAAGCAGAGCGGGCGTCGCTTAACTCATTCGCATCCCATGAACAGTCGGAGGACGGCTATCCTCACGTGGACCTGGACACCATCGACAGCGGCTTCGGAGAGTGCGGCAGCCCTGGAGCCTCAGACTCAAACTCTAACTCATTTCCTGAGGAAAAACACTTAAATTCAAACTATGTCAAGCAGTGGATGATATGTAGCACAATTCAGGAAGACACCAGCACTGTGAACAATGAACTCGATGAGACAGTGACTGCAGCTTCTGGCTCACAACCACAGCTACAATGACTGCAAACAGAAGGAGAATCATAATGCTGCATGAACAATATGTGCATCCTCGTGCATTTGTTATTTTGAATGAGCTAAGTAAACGTTTCTTTTTTAAAAATCTCTCTACTAAAAAGAGTTTTACTGATGTCTGTTTACTGTTAATTTAATGGAACTGAGATTCTTGTATGATTTGAAAGACACTTTTTTAGCTTCACCTTTATTTGTACAGTTAATTAGATGTAGTTTCAGTCTCAATAAAGATCTGTTCTTAACTGTACAGAACGCAAATGTTTAAATATGAATATATGCAAGTAAATGTATCAATATTAAAAAACCCTTTCATAAGACGTATTTGACGTGAATTTAAGCTGCAGGTCAAACAGTCAGGTGGAAAAAAATGCAACCGAGTAACATCAGATACAAACTGTAGAAGATAAAGGAGCAAAGTTTCCACGACAATAAAAAAAAAAAATGGTGTCGTAAGCATAAAGATGCTGAGATCCATCAGTAACCTTCTGATCCACAAAGTGAATGTATGAAGACAGCAAACAACAGCTGGACAACCAAAGGAAACCTGTTGGTGTGTTTCAGCAGCCCTGGGACCTCGGTTCAGTGATTCTGCCTCCATCTTGCTCAGGTAAAGGTCATGCATTCTTCAGCTGTAGCAACAGAATGTAGGCTCCTTTATCAAGATGTCTGATAATGGCTATTTCCTTGCATTTGCACATTTTTCTGTAACCACTGTAACCAATCATCCTGTTTGTGCAGTGTACATGAAAAGAAAGCAAATAGCAAAACAGCAAACTTGATGATTTTTGACACTGATATTTCCATATAAAGGCAATTGTTGCATGCAATCCATTTAGTTTCTTCCCATGTTTGGCTATTCTATAGAAACTATAGCTGTTGGCATGTGAAGTGATCATTCTGAACTGTACAGAATGCAAAGATGATTTTATAAGGTGTATTTGAGTAAATATGTGAATTTAAGCTGCAGGTCAAACAGCCAGGTGTAAAAAATTAAAGTGAGTAATATCTGACACAAACTATGTATTGGAAATATTTCTAATATTCAGCAAACTCAGCAGTCAGGCTGTTTATGTATCAATTCATGACAAGGTCAACTCCATAAAACTGCTCCCAACCTACCCAAATCTGAACTTATTCTCTTGGCCCCAACCATTATTTAATGTTTTAAATAACAGAATTATTAGAAAAGATTATCCATCCGTTGGAGAAACTGTAATTCAAAGATTCCTCCTGCAGAATTGTAAGCTAAGATCAAAGTTTATTCCTTAAAGATGCAGACTTTCTTTGATGGATCGCTTTTGGTACACTAATGCATGCATTGTGTAATTAACAGTTCCTTGGTCAGTCTTTGTTTGCTGTAGTTCAGATGGTTGGAGGCCCAATACTATCTCCAGCAGTCATTGGGTGACTGGTGGGTACAACCTGGACAGATCTTCAGTTCATCAGAGTAACAAAAACACAAACAGGACAAAACAACCAGGCACACACATTATTGTCAAAGAGAAACACATTTCCCCATCAGTTATGTTTTTGAAGGAAGCCAGAGTTAAATCAGTGATATAGATATCGAGCTATGTAACCCCAAACATATGAAAAAGCAAAATATGCCTGACAAACTGGACAGGAAACTCAGGCATTTAAATAAACAGACTGATGACACAGATGCTCTAAAAATGAGATAAACTAATTTGTTCCAGGGAAAGTGAAAACACCCACATCAGATCTAACTAATGAAGATCCGCTCCTGATAATTAAGAGTCATGGATGAAGTTGAAGACAATGAGTGAGTCAGAAAGGGACTTGGTTGCTGTGGGGCTCAAACTAACATGAGCTTCATAAACCATAGAGAGATTTCTAACTGGACTGAACCGAAGCAGGAGCCACATGGCTGAATTCACTCCTAGATATTTCCTGTATGTTTACAAATCGATTGCATCTTTTTAAATGACGTAAAGTTGTACAGCTGATTGTTCAGATATATTCTTGCACTGCATAATTTCCCGTCATTTACTCAGGTTACGTAATCAACAACTGTTTGATAAGAAATCTGATCAAATTATAATTACGCATCATCCACATTTACTGGCAAAGATTTCTAAAATAAATCATTTACTGCAATATTTGCACAATGAAGTAGAAAAATCCAACATTAATTTCACAATACAATATAATCATTTTCTGTTCTTTTTAATTTTTAGAATATTTTGGTACAACTAATAATCTCTAAGTTGATCAGAGTTGCTAGGAACTTCTAAGTAGTAATCTCACTCTTGTTTCTCAGAGGTATAAATATGATGCAACACAGAGGCCACTGGTAAAAAATAATTTAAAAGAAGATTTAAAAAAGATCGCTAAAGTTAGAATCAGAGCCATGACAGGAGAAAACACGACCAAAGAAACATTAACACATGAAAACTTGTTTTTTTTTTTTTTTTAATGAGCCTAATATTCAGGATTTTGACAACAAACACTTCATGTGGGTCTGGTGTTAAATAAATAACAAATAAGTGTAAAAACACTGATTGGACCTGTGATGATGTGGGCCTGAATCTCCCACTAAAACATTTAATAAAATATCAGGTGGAAAAAACTCAAAACGAGTCGTTGGATCATTCAGCAAGAAAATGATCTGGTAACATCAATGTCTGAATGGCTGGATATATTACCAATATATATGTTTGATTCCATGTGGAAACAGGTGAAGCGAAGCAGATTAGATGTTAAAGATGGTAAAGTTTTTCTTTTAGTATGCAACAATTTTTGCTGCTGTCATTTCCATCACATCTCGTGTATTGGGTTCACTCCAAGTGGCAGAAAACAAAACCTTCACTTTTCAGTCATTTGTCGCTCCCCGGGTGTCGAGTCCATAGAGATGTTCACATAAAATCACAGTGAATTGTTGCACAGCATACTGAGTCAGCAAGTTTTAGACATTCTGTTTTTCTTTTAACATCAGTAATGCATTGGAGAAAATTATTGGGAAGTTGAAGTTTCCAGGAAACTTAACTGTATAAGTGTGGATCATCAGAATAAAGGAGAGCAGAAATGTTAAAGGTTTAAAACCGGCACATACAAAATGAGCAGAGGACCCAGACTTGATCCCTGTGGAACTCCATAAGTAATGCTAACTTGAAGATATTAGACCAAAATAAAGTGAAACATGCACTTTATTTTGTGGAAAATTTATGATTAAAGGACAGTCCAGAGCAGAAGCCATTCTGCATTAGTGGAGTTTCCTTTTTTAACATTTGTATTAAAAAGGAAAATCTTGCCAGTTTTGGGATTTCTAAATGTCAGTATCAGCAAATATTTTTCACATATCTTTGCAAAACACCAACTCTAAAACTTTTGGTGTTAAACTTAGTGCGTAAACATGAAATTGAAAACATTTTACGCACCAAACTGCAGGTTTTCACTGGACTCACTTATTTCCTCTTGATTCTTTTGGTGTGTGAGGGTGGCGTGTTTTCTTAAAAAGGGACTCTGGTGGTATATGATGTGGGAGGGGGATGTTCATTTACTTTTCAAGATTAGTCCACAGTTTCCCTAACACCATGTGTCAGTTGATCCTAATCTTAATTTCAGGCATGAAAAAAGTGACACATTTAGTCATATTTTGGTCTTTACAGGACAGTAAGTCTACACAGATTCCCTTTAGGTTGCAGCAGAGCAGCAGTGGAGCCTCAAACCGACTTTGGTCTTTATTTTTTCACTGAGGTTCATCAGCATGCATGGCCTTTTCCTCAGAAATGCAAAAGAGCAAACAGTTTTAGGTTAACCAGGAGATAAAAACAGTAAATGCAGGCTGGATGTGAATGTCTACTCTGATGTAATCTGATGTTTGTCAGCTTACGCCCCCAGTCGAATTCTGCTTGGTGTAAAACAAAATAATTTTAACTCTGTGTTGAATCTTTGAAGACTGAAAGACACAGCATTGGTAAAAAAAAATAAAATAAAATAAAAAAGTGTAATCTTTTCAAAGGTTTACACTGTTAAAGCTGCATTTCAAAAAAATATTTTTTTACATATTTGTTACAACTGTCACTATATGGTTACATGACAGATTAATGAACTGCTCTTTACAGAAAGAGGAGCTCAGCTCTGGTTAATCTGATTCGGGGTTAAAGATCAGAGTGATTGTGAAATGCATTCTTATTTATCTGAGAAATCTGACAGTTTGAATAAATTAATGTGGTTGTAGCTTATTAATAGCGATTGAGTCACAGTGTTGAATGACCGTGTTTTCCTCCAGTGGTGCTGATCCTAATGCCTCCAAGCTGAGACGTAAAGTTTTTACTCATTTTAGACAACATTTCCATTGGTATCTGCACAGCTCTGCTGTTGCAAAGTTTTTATTGCCATTTATTGGAAAGTTTGTCTTAATGTACCTTGTCAGCTGCACATTTCTTTGGACCAGGATATATTTTTAATAACAGTTTTTATGTTAAAATTTTACCCTTACTGTGTATTCTATTTTTATTTTGTCATCTTAACAAACTTGCTTTGCTGCTATTACATCAAAATTTTCCAGTTGGGGGATATTTATGTTCTTTGTTCCTAAAATCATGATTGTAAATATATATTTACAGTAAATTAAAGCATTTCTCACATTTTTGGTGTTGAAAAATATGAATCAATCAGAATCACAGCTTTAGTTAATTATGATTGATATAGAAATTAGATTTAGTGACAAATGAATGCATCTCAGTTAAAACTGCATAAACTCTTTAGAATGGGGGAAAAAATCACTTACTGTGGCTGCAATGAACATGTTTAACTGGCAGCCGCTGAAGGAAACCATCAACACCCTGCGAGTCCACTGGGATACGAGTCTGTATGCAACAAATGGATTAAAATGGATTAAAATGTTTGATATTTTTAATTTTAAACTGTTTCTTTTATTTACACAATTACATTTATGGCCACATATGTCAAGGAAGAAACTTTGAAATTAAAACAGTTTTAAGCAACTTGTTCAGAGTTTTAAAAAAAATACACGAACAGATCTAAATATAGTGGAACATTACGAAGGTGTTTGAAGGAGAGAGAGAAACGCAGACGAAACCAAATCAAAAAGGTAAAAGAAAGCCCCGTCACTTCCTGCTGAGATGACGATTGATATTTCAAACCTCAGAGAGATTTCTCATTCACACAGAGACATCAGCAGCACCGCAGCTCTGAGGTAATAACACTTTCCTCTATGCCAACAGCTACTCATTCATTCTTTAACAAATCGATCTCATTTTATGTCTCCATAGTTAAATGTGTCTGTAATTTTAATGTTGATCATCTACAGAATAAATCCTTTAATGTTTTTGAATGTCTTGTTGATGTTGGCAGAGTGATGCTTATGATCCAGTAAGCCATGATGAGAGGGCGGCTCCTGTTTGTGCTCTGGTGCTTCAGCATCCTGGCAGCGGCCCGCAGCATCACAGGTACCGTTCAGATCCATGGACACAGAAATGCAGCTTTAATCACTCTGCGGGCTTTCATCATATCACTGCTGCTCTCATAAGATCCATTAAAGAGATGACTACAGATGACCTTTCTGTCCCACATTCCAGTCATCAACCACAGAACTAGTGTTCAGCGGAAATTTAAAGTGTCGAAATGTCAAAAACTTATATTATCTGTGTTTTATATCACGTGTGTGTTATCGTTTTGTTCCTTTCACACGTGAGACTCATCTGATTTTGATGAGTCTGAATGAACAATTCACTGAACTACAGTTACATGGTAAATTACACTTTTCTGAACAGAAATCACCTAAAGCTATGACTGCTTAGTTCATAATTTGGCTATTTATAGTTTCCAGCTTTGAAAAGCATTTTTAAGACTCATTGAAATGATGTGTGTTCCATAGATTCAACCAAAGCAAAGGAAACATGTTTTTGTTGCTTTTGTTTTTGTGGAAGGTTCCCAGTATGGAAATGTTTTTGTTGAGCTTTCTGTTATTTTCTGATCCAATGATGAAACTGGACTAAAAATGAGTTAATGAAAAAAACACAGATAAATTACAAAGAACATTGACAGACCTTCAGGTCAAGAAAATGTTAAGAGAAAACTGGAAACTTTTGCTGTTTGGGTTAAGAAACACAAGACATTTGTAAAGATCTGTAACTGTTTATATTTAACCGTTACGAGAGATTAAGTATCAGATCAGGTAAATAACAATGTAGTCTATAAACATCCATCATACCAGCAGATTAAAAATATATATCTGTATCAAAAATAACTGGATATAAATGCAAACAAAATCATCAGCAGTTCTCAGGCAGTACTTTGGTTTAGTTCAGTTGTTCCTTTTACTTCAAGTTGATTTTTTGTATATAAATGTTTTTCTTTCTAATTCTGCTTGTTCAGTTTCATGTGTGAGTGACTACATCACAAACATAACCTGTGTGGTGAACGGCATCAACATCAGACCTGACAACTGCAGCCTGAAGTTCACTTTTACAGAAAGGTATGTTTGTGTGTGTGTGTGTGTGTGTAAGTAAAGTTTACTTATAAAGCACTTTTCACAGACATAAAATCACAAAGCGATGTAAAATGGAAAGTGTGAATAAAACAAGAATTTTCATTATGTTGCTAAACATAACTAAATTGCCCATCAGTGATAAGTAAAAAAAGAATATAAAAATGTAAACATTAAAATACATCAGCATGTAGCCGTGCATTCGACCCAATGTAAAAGTCTCTATTAGTCGTTATGCAGTGAACTGAACACTTGTTTTATAACATCCTATGTTGTCTTATACAGACGAGCTACCAAAATGAATAAAAATTTGGGGATGAATAATGTATTCTGAACTGAACTATTGGCACATAAAAGCACTAAACTGTTCCTAAATGTGTGTATTTCAGTGAATCTATAAGAAAGTTTGATGTGTTTTTTTTGTTTTTGTTTTGTAGCAACACGTGTCCAATCGTGGCGACTGATCAGGGTTACTTCTGCAACTGTAAAGTTTCAGATTCAGAAATGTCAAGCTTTTATACATATGAAATACAGTTTTGTAATGAATCTTGCTACAAAGTTCTCCAAAGTCCCTTCAAACCAAAACTTAACAGTAAGTGTGAAATAATTGTTCTATAATCCACATTTCTCTCGTCTTGGTTTATTTGGTATTGTTATTGTCGTGTAAAACATGTTTTGAGATACGTCTTTAAAGAAGGTAAAAGCAAATCTGAAAATCTGATTGAGACCTTTTTTCTAAACAGTTAAGCTGAGTCCACCCCCTGCAGTGGATCTCCAAAAATCAACAGATTATATTAACATGACCTGTAAGAGTGACAGGTATGAAGAACACATGTACCTTAAAGGCAGACTCAAATATGAAGCTCTGCTTCAAGAATCCCACGGCAGCTGGAACAGAGTAAGACCCGTTAATGTGAACAATCACGCCATAACCACTTCTGACCTCCATGGGTTAACTGCCAACATCACTGTTTGTGTTTTTCCTCAGACTGTTTCCCTCACACCACCTAAAAATGATTATGCAATTCCTAGCAAAGCATTGCTCAAACAAAACACAGAGTACTGCGTGAAAGCCAGATTTAAGGCTGAAGACACACGTGACCAGAACTCTGTGTGGAGTGAGTGGGGTGAACCAGTATGTTGGACAAATGAACAAATGACAGGTAAACTGACATTTTTTATGTTTTTTACTTTTGCACACAATCAAAAATATGACAAACCATAAATCACTGAATTCTAATGTTTTAAAAGTTACTTGTCAATTTTTTTTTCCTGTTTTGCAATTTAGATAAAGATTTATTGGTCATGAAACATCAGAGTGTATTATCAGCCAAAGTATGAGTGTCAGACGTTTCCCCCACAGCTTACACAGAACTGTGCAGATAATTCAGAGACATCAGGCACCTCGTGCACTTTCAGCATGACTCGCTGCTAACTCTGTCTTATTTCACACATCTTCTCAGAACAAGAAGACATAGTTCCTATTTTACTCAAATCTCTGGGTCCCGCCTGTTTTATTATTGTCATCGTCCTGTTTGTTTTCTACAATCCTGCTACAAGGTAACTCAGCTGTTCCTCCAACAATTACAGGTCAGAATATTTAATTATCTCAGAATATGTATCTGAATAACGTTTTGACCTGACAGAATGAAGATAAAAACTCTGGGCCGCACACCAACACCGGCCCCGTTCTTTAAGCCTCTGTTTCAGCAACATGACGGAAATCTACAGGTGAGATTTTCAGATGACTTAAGATGTTTTTACAGTAAAATGTCCGATTCTGCCTCTCTTAACTTCAGAACATTTACACATAACAGTTTTAGATTTATATGTTTGCATGGTAGGAAATGTTTCTGGTAAGAAATGATAGGAATCCCATAACTTAATTATATTATATAGAAAATTCATATGGAAAAAATAAATGTTATAAATCATTCAGACCTTTCTCCATAATTATTGGAAATATTTTAATATACAGTTTATTTTGGTGTACATCAAGGCTTTGTAATACTACAGTTTGTAATACATTTGATCCCTTTTGGGCAAATTTTACAGATGTTTCTAATTCTTCAACCCTTACATGCATGACTAACAGAACCCTACGCTCTTTCAAAAGCAGGTCAAAAGTGACCCATATCACAATCAATGTATTTTTATGTTATTTTTGTTATCAATATGATTATGTACAGGGTTTCCCCCAGAAAACCTGCTAAGCCGGGTGCTTGGGGCTCTAGGGCTGTCATTCATCCAGCCAGCCGCCATGTTTTGAGTTAAAAAAACGTTTAAAGTTGACAGGAAATCTGAAAGTATCACTGTGTTATTGGAAGACTGGAAGATGAATACCTAAACACCAACTATAAAGTCTTAAAAAGGCAATGATTAAAAAACCCCGAAAAAAAAAAAAACAATGCATAGCCTGGGGGGGGGACAAGTAAAGCCTGGTAGCCCGCCAGGCTTATAATACACTGGGGGAAACCCTGATGTATATAATTGTGTCCACAATTATAGCTAATAATTTAAGTTTAAATAATTTGATGTTTTCACACTTTTAAAATACTTTTTAAAATATCGCTATCGCTATCCATTTTGTACATTTCTGTGTGTAAAAGTATGTTTGCGAAGCAGTACGTATACCTGGCAGCCATGCGCCTTAGCTGAGGAGACAAAAGGAAAATAACGTTTGAAATATAAGCAAATTAAATGATCTAAAAGGATCAATAAATATGCAAGTGCTAACACACCCAAAGAAATGGCAGCTAGCTAATTGACTACACTATAAAAGAGACCAATTTAATGACTAATAAGACAATCTGTCACACAATACACAAAATTATGAGGCAGCAATTTCACAGTTGCAGTGTAAGAAATGCATGAAACCTGCATGCAAATAAGTTTGTTCACGCAAGAAGTAATAAAAAAAACATGCTGCGCCATCATCCTCCAACTACTTCCTGTCATCTTCTTCATGGTTTGCTCCAGTGGCAACATCTGGTTATTGATCATGTGATGCAAAAAAAGGGTTTCCATTGAAGTTTTGTGAAATTAACCAAACATAGCACCAAAACGTTTGATCAAAATTAGTGCGTTTCCATTCAGCAAATTTATTTTCGAAATATCAAATTGCACAATTTTATAGTGAATGGAAACACAGTTATTGACCTTTGGCTTATTTCAGAGAACAATTTAAGATTATTGTATCAACTTAGAGTGCTCTTCAAGAACATGTACCAGGTTATATCAGAAGCGAAAATAGTTTATCATCAGGAATAAACCTTTGAGAAAACAGTTGAATGAGCAAACAGAGCAATCATTTAAAGAGACCCGCCTCCTAAAGATGCGCCAACTCATCACACTCTTCTGTTGAACTTTCAGGAGTGGCTTTCACCTCACGGCAAGTATGATCTGACGTACAAAACCGAGGAGGACTTGATCACCGATGACGTGACTGTTGTGCCAAAGTCCAGCCCAAAGGATTTAGAGGAGAACCAAGTCTTCCTCACCTCTCCAGGAACGCAGCTGGTCTTCCCTCTGAGTCACACCTCCTACGTTGGTTTTCCAGGGATGGAGAAAACCTCTGCTCCTCCCTATCCAGGAGACACTCCGTACACTCAGCTCCCCTGCTCCGTTTGGAGTCCCTGCGTCCAAAACGTAGAAGTTGTTTGCTCCGATCCAAAAGGTTTCCTCGAGATAAGCCGTTCTGATTCTGGTTGCAGCTGCGAGGATCTGACTCAGAGCCCAGAGTGCAGCTTGCCTTGCAGTCCTGTGGATGAGATCCCGACACCCAGTCACTGTAGCGACTACTGCATCCTCAACAAGACCGCTCAGGGAGTCGTTCCTGTGCTGCTGTCCAAAGAACGTCCTGCAGATGTTCCCGACCATTCTCTGAAGTCAGAAGGATGAAAACTCCTTCTGTTTGTTCATTTAGCAAAAAATGGCTTTCATCTGCTCAATGCCAGTCAACAAACCTGCCATGTTTCCCATGCCTGGTGAAACTTATCAGTTTGCACTTGCAAAGAAGTAGTTGAATGGTGAAAGCAAAATGATTCTCAGTTTGTAATAGACCTGCAGGATATCTGTGACCTGTCTGAGAACGTGAAGGTTTCACTTGTTCTTGGCAACAGACTGTTTTTTTTCTGCTTTTTTTGTTTCAGCTAAAGGAAAAGAATGAATCATTTAACAGAGATTCTGGTTAACAATAGCTTTCTGATTGTTTTGAGATGCATTACTTTCAATATATTTTTGCCAGGGTTGAAATATTTTAGTATGGTTTCATAGGAAACTTTTTTTTTTATTTGTGCCATTCAATGCACACGTTGAGTTTACTCTGACTCCATTTAATCAAGTCAGAACAGACTCTGTTCGCCTGAAAGTGTTCTTGGCTTCAGATGTAAAAAGGGTCAGAAATGGTAATGTACTGATAAACCTCTAAATTTAGGCAGAAAAATGGTTTCTCCATCATTTTTTGCCATGTATTTTTTCTTTATTTTTTTGCACAGCATCCTGATCTGCTTATAAAACAAGCAGAAAATTATGGATCTAGAAGTTGAATTATGTCTCTCATAATTTCACTAAGGGACATTGAACTTTTAAAGCATCACTGAAAATGTCTTCATCTTTGCCGTATTTTATACTACTTTCATCAGGTACTTTCACATTAATGTCCTGAATATATCTGCAGCTGAATGTTGAATTAACATGTGAATCTCCTGTTTAGAAATTTAAGAGATTGTCACTTTGTCTACAGCAGAAGAACGATGTGCTACTAAATTTATAAGATGGAGTAGCAATCAAAACTATCCAATCAAAAACTGAAAAAGCAAACATCTGGAAACCAAATGTAACCAAAAAGGCACAAACATGCATGGGAAGAACATGCTAAAACGAAAGTGTATCCATTTTGCCTCTTTTTGTTCTTTTGCAATAAAAAAATAAATATTCTTTTGAAACTGGAAAAAAAAAGTGGTAAAGAAGCTGCTAAACTGAGTTGTATTTCAGGTTATTCTGTCATTTACTCTTTTAACATGCAAGAAGAAAATGTGAAATGTCAAAGTTATTGTTTTGCTGTTATTAATTTTTTTAAGATGCAGCATTGGTCCCCAGTTCATCATAAGCCAAACAACCATAAACATGTATTCACAGTTCAGGGAAATTTAGATCAGATGCCAGTCATGTTTTTGGACCATGGGAGGAGAAAATTTATGTATTCACATGAAGAACACGGAAATTTAAATCCGTGTTCTATCTATCTAAATTTGACTATCATGGCCAAATTTATTAAAAATCACTTGAGATGTCAGAGATAGCGGGATTTACACTCCAACATGATTCCCAATTCCCACTTTAGGATGAAAACTGGGATTACAGAAGACGACCAGGAAAATGATGATGTATTTCTGTGCTCTGGGCCAAATCTTAGTTGGACTTTTCTTCATTTTTTTATTCTCAAGATATTATTTATCTAGTCCAGATGGTATATTAGGGTCACCAAGCCATTTTTCTAACTATTTTGAGCAAATACTGGACAATTCACTAACATAGTGAAGCACAAACATAAAAGGTTTGATGGAAAGTGAAAGTAGGAGGAAACTGTCGGGTGTGAATGTGGGCAGGATGAAGTCACCTCAAGATCAACTTTCAAGCTCGGCGGCAGAAGAAATAAAGACGGTTAGCAGTCACGAGCATCAGCTGAAAAACCAGTTGACATTCAGATCCTGTGGTTGGACTTATAAAATCACTGAGGGGCAAATGAAAGGGTGAAAGGTGGGCGTCAAGTCCCATGTATCACTTTTCTGCTCATTTATCTGTTTATCAGGTGGCACCCACATAAATTTCCCCAGCTTTTGATGCAGTGGAGGCTTTTCCCCACCAACCTGCCCAGAAAAACACGTTTCAGGGAGTCAAGGAGATGCAGCATGCAAGTCCTGTTAGACTGAATACAGGCACTGAATTGGAATTATGTTGGGGCTGAACATTTTCAGTCAAAGTTTTTTTTTTTTTTTTACAGCACTGAGAAATAAAATGTAAGCTCAGCAAATGAACATTGCTAAGCATGTTGTCTCTTTGCAAGATAAAATCAAAGCAATGCATGAGACTGTCTCTGCAGAGAATGACATTATGACACTGAAGTGATCTGCAGATTATCAGTCCCCTAATTTTTGTCTCTAAATGCAGTAAAATTTCCAAATGAGAGTCCATCTCCCTCCCACACAGATTCAGCTATGAGTCACATGCCTGAAAGATCGTAAATGTACCCCATCACGCTTACCAAAGAATAACGGAGGGGAAAAGGTAAGCTGCAGTGGTTGTTGCTTTTTTTCAAAGTCGTGCCAAACCTCATGCAGATTCCTGCAGCAGAGCTGCTGCTTTGAGGGTTTGGTGTTTACATCATTTTAAAGTTTTAAAGTTTTGGGTAATTTTGACTGCCCATCTTTTGCAATGTGAAACAAAACAGAAAATATTTTTTTTTACTTTTAGCAGCAAGTAATTAAAGCAGAATTTAAATAAAGATTAATGAAATCAAACATTTCTAAACTATGCTAAATGGATTATTCTAAATCATTTTGATTCTTAAAGTAATTGACCATTTATGTTTAATTTTAAACAAAATGATACACATATATAATTATTATATGGGGAACCATATGTGAAGTTACACTGAAATTAACAGAAATTATTTGGGTTATTTAGCCTTTTTTAAAGTCATATTATAACGACATTATTCAACTTTGACATTTATTTGTTTATAGATTATTAATTATAAATGTCACAGTTTCAAACTAAATATTTAGCTCCAAAATAAATATGTAGTTAGCAAGCTACATATTTACGGTAAGGTAAGGTAATTTTATTTATATAGCACATTTTCAGCAACAAGGCAATTCAAAGTGCTTTACATGAGTTAAAAGGAAATACAAACAAAATAACAAACCAAAGGAAAGAAAAAAGAGGAAAGAAAACTAATCTAATGTTGTTCTAAAGTATGTAAACTAGGTGCTCCTGTTCAGAGTTGCTAAGTATCTAATTCCATTTCTAAATAGTGAGTACTCTATAGTTTCTGATAAAATAAGCTAAAGAGTGACTGATCTAATTCCTTTTCTGGGTTAAAATAATATAAACTAAGCAGTGACTGTTCTTGTTAAGCATTTCTGGATTTCAAGTTCGTAGTTATTCTAATTCTAATTCTGATTCCTTTTCTGGTCTGTATAATATTGATCTAAATAGTGCGTACTCCACAGTTTCTGATATTACTAATAAACTAAAATAATCATTTTCTGGGTTAAATAGGGAGTACTTCATTTCTAAAACAAAAGATGAAAGGGCACAGTAGGGCAGGTGGCAACATTCAGACATAACAATGGGCAAAAACAAAGACACGAGTGAAGGCAGTGACGTCAAAGGGCCACGAAGGAACGTCACTGAGCCTCCTGGCAGAGTCCGATAAAGGTGTTGCTATCAAGCCATGATGTCTTTAGGAGAGTTCAGGTTCGCAACTTCATGGATACAGGAGGGGGTGAGGAGGGAAGAGCGTTGTGTTTACATATCTTCGAGAAGATATGCATCCCTTCCAAGGCCACACGGGGAAAGCCAATTCAGAAACAGAAAGTTTAGGTCAGGAAGATTATACATTTCAATCTTCCCTAAAGTCTCTCCGATACATCTCAGTTCCTAATTATCCAAATTAGTTTGGCCGAAACTAGCAACTTCTCCAAGATCGATTCCATCCGGTTAGTGAGTTTTAGAGTCCTCGTCTCTGTCCACACCAACAGTCTGAGTGTTTGCTAGTTCGGCCAAGTCCGTCACAAATTTGTCGATAATCCAGGAATCCACAAGCTCCAAACAGCAGAAATCCTGTTGTCATGAATAAATCCAGGGTGAATCCCGCCGGGTGTGTCCCCGCACGAAAATAGGGCTCTCCTGTGCCCAGACTTCTCATTGAAAATTTGATCAAATGCATTGAGAGATCGGTTGACCAGATCCATAATTTGTAGATTTGGATGATGTGCAAAGAAAGGCTCCAAAAATATAGAAAAAGACAGGACAAAAACAGAGCAAGCAGGGCAGACAAGGGCAGGGAGGGAGCAGAGGAAAAACGCGTCCGCCTTCATCGAGAGCAAGAGAGAAAGAATTTAGTTAGTAAACTAAATATTTAGCATCAAACTAAACATTTATCTTCTAATGGGATACTTTGCTAACTATTTTGTTTAATATTTAGTATGTAAACTAAATATTTAGCTCCAAGCTACTGTAAGTGTTTAGATAGCAACCAAATATTTAGCTAGCAGGCTAAATATTTAGAACTGAGCTAGATATTTAATTAGCAAATATGTAACTGCAAACTAACCATTTAGTATGCTAACTAAATATTTAGCTTCCTAAAAAATATTTAGATTCCTAACTAAATATTCAGATTTAGCTACTTAGCTAAATATTTTGTTTGTAGCTAAATATTTAGTTGCAGAAAACAAAACATGGTATGCCGGCACAAATCATACAGTGGAGGACAACTGATTATTGGCAGCTTCCCTTCCACTCTGCAGGACCTGGGTGTCTAGCAGTCGGGTGACCATGAACTCTTCTCCTTCCACAGTATTCTGGTGTTAAATCTGACTCGAATAGATTTTTCTGGTAATGTGAAGGTCCATTAGGTCTCCAACCTTCATTTCCAGTTGTTGTCCTGATTTTCCTCCACTTCTCACTGAACAACTTATTTTCTACAACTTCTTTGTTCAGTGAGAAGTTCAGTCAAATTTGTGTCTTCTGTCAAAGTTGGTGATCAGCACCAGACAGCTGAACACCTACTTGAACTCCAATTTGCAGCCGTCTCTCAGCCTGACAGCTGGACAGATCTCAGATTAATATCAGTCATTATCTCATTCAGGGTTGGCAGGTGTTGCTGCTCATTCTGGTAGAATGAAGGTGGAACTGGGTGTCACAAACAATGGAGAACACATTGCTTACTGGTTCACTTACAAAGCTCTGAGGTCAGCATGGAGGAAGAGTTTACTGACAAGAAAATGCATGCTAATAACCTTGCAACTCTCTTTATGTTTTACCACCTACAAGGATATTTAATTCAACCTGCAGAAAGACAGTTCTGTGGTTTGTATTCTTTTCTACAAATAATTGGTCTGCCCCCAGTGAAATTATCAACCAAACCACAGATTTCTTCTCGGTATTAGTAGTAAAAACTAAGTGATTAATACTTGCCACTATCATGTCATTGAAGCAGGCTCATGCAGTGGAGAAATATCTGTTTCCTTCCTAGTTCCCTCCGATTCATGATACTCTACACAAAACAAGCAAAAGATTCACAAATGTTGACAAAAATCTCATATTTTTTTAAAGAACGACTAAATTCTTTAGTCGTTCTTTAAAACGACTAAACAACAACAATTTGATTTGAATTGTTGTTCAAATCAAATTGTGATTTGAACAACAATTATGTTGTTCAAATCTTCAGTGATTTTGGTTGTACAGGATTGAACTAGACTAGATACATAAATATTTTTCTCGAAAAATCAACAACCACATCCTAATTAAATGTTTTTTTTTTTGTTGGTTTTTTTTTGCAGAGTAACTTGACCTTTTTCTCTCCAAGAACTGTGTGGGGTTTTATGTGTTGTTTTATTCTCTGTATTCTAACTGTCAGTTTTGTTCTGATGTAAAAAAAAAAAAAAAAAAAAAAAAAGCCCTTTGACTGACATCAGATAACACACTGAAGTACAGAGTAACAGTTTTGTTTAGGGGGGATAATAAAGACTTCAGATTGACGTTTTCATTAGATAATTTACTTATGAATGTATTTAAAATGTAAAAGATTCCAAAGTCATGTCAGATTAAACTCTGTCCTAACAAACTTCTCAGAAGTTGATGAATTAGCCTTTTGAACACATGTCACTTATTCACAGTTTCAGAATAAAACTGAAAGACCTGAAAGCTTTAATGCTTTCAGGTCATTCTTCGTCATGTGTAATTACAAACAAGAGTTTCAGGGGAAAATACTATTAAATACTAACAACTAGCATTACTATCTTAACTTTAATAAAAAAGATCATGCTATGAGGAACACAAGGAAGCAGTAGTGAGAAAAAGAGGAAAATCTAAGTGGCAAAACAAAGTAGGGAGCTTAATAACTGCTATCCGAGATTGATCTGCAACTCAGCAGAATATAAAATAGAATATAAAATACTAAAGAACAGAGAAAAAGCAAAAAGATTACTAAAACTAAGGAAAGGATTAAATTTAAAAAGCACAACACAAACTGCCAAAAGTTTTCATCTCCAAAGTCTCTGCTAACTTAGCTTACCAGCCAGTTATTTATTCAAATTAACACTTCATGCCAAACAAAGCATTTTTACCATAATGGCGTCATTTTCCTGAGACTCCAAACTGTTACTCTGTTTGTGTAAAGTATCGGAGAATAGACCCTTTTCACAGTGACGTCAGACAATGGCCGCCATAACTCAAACCTGGGTATCTTTACTTCCGGTGTGATTTTGCCTTGGGAACCAAGCTGAAAAATTCCCGCANCCAATAGACCCTTTTCACAGTGACGTCAGACAATGGCCGCCATAACTCAAAACTGGGTATCTTTACTTCCGGTGTGATTTTGCCTTGGGAACCAAGCTGAAAAATTCCCGCATTCTCATAATCTTAAGGATATAATAAAAGGTAAGTTTAATAATAACAGCATTTAAGTGTTAGATAGCTGTTATTAATCATTGTAAATTCACCATTCTCTAACTGTGTATAAAATAAACAGCCTCCGATCGGAGAGTAAACCACCTAGCAGCAGCTTTAGCCACATTTAGGAAAAAATATACTCTCTGTCAGCGCTGTAACGTTTAGGTTCACTTTCTGTGTTTTATAAAACAGTGTTTACGTGTTAGATAACCGTTATTAGTCATTGTCAATTTACCATTATCCAACTGTATTCAAAGGAACCAGCCTCCCATCATGAGTAAACCAGCTAGCAGCAGCTTTAGCCACAGTTAGGAAACATATACACCGCCGCCTGTGATGTAACGTTTAGAGGTTCATTTTCTGTATTAATTGAAAATAAAGGACAACTTCCAACAACGTTGTTTAGAATAGTATTTTAAATATTCTGGGGCTGATTATCTCTGCTCATTTCCAAGCTCAAATGAGCAACTTCACGTTCAAACACAAGTCCCCCAAAAAACGCGACCGAATCATTACTTTTTATGAGTTTAGAAAAATCAAGACAAAAGCCACAAATAACAATTGGGCTTGACGACATTTCTGTTTTTCCAACAACAAAATGCGCATCTCCATGCACTGTTCATTTTTCTGTCGCTGCTAACTGTCACAGAGTCTCTCCCAAAGACGCACAGAAGGAATAAAAATAAATACAAAAGAAAATATTAATGTGCAGTGATTGGCATAAATAACTTTAATCTGATTACTGGATTTGAAATACGAACTCGT